TGCACTGTACTCTTAAGTGAAACTTCTTTGTAAGTTGCAGGCCTTCGGCCGCGCTTTTAATTGTAACCATCATCAAGATTGGCCAATTAGTTTGGCTGAAACAAGTATTGGAATTATAAAAGAAAGCACAGCCTCAACAATTAAGATAAGCCTCTTAAGATACATTTTAATTTAAAATATTAATTAGTTGATGCTTATTTTCATTTTCTACTACTAAATTTTATAGTTAATTACATACATTTTTTTAATATTTGTAAACTCCTTCTCCAAATATGCACATGCACCCATATGCACACGTAACGAAATCACCGACGCTAATTCAGATTTAAAATTTTAAAATTTAACACAAGACATTCATACACATAATTTAACACATCTTGAAGATAATTTTAGACCGCATTCTAAATCAATAAATTTACCTCCTTTTTAGAATGAATGTCCTGAAGCATGGTTTTTGCTTGTTGAAGGACAATTTGAAATTAACAATATTTAACGAGAAACTATTTTCAAAATTATCGATGTTATTAGTCCAGCTCCGTTTTCAAACAAATATAATATGAAGCTATTAAGAACGCTCTTTGCGAGAGATTTTCTCTTAGTGAAGAAAAGAGATCGGAGCAATTATTTTCAAATACTGAAATTGGTGATGGTTAGATATATGAAATCTTTAACTGGTTCAGATTCATTTGTTAGTCACGAATTACTTTTTAAATTATGGATTCGTAAACTACCACAACAAATTCAAATTCATTTAACTTCTTCTAGTAATCAAAATAAAGATGAAATTATTAATTTCGCTGATAAAATTTTCGTTTTAATTAATAAACCTCAAGTATCATCAATAGCAACAACAATTAATAGTAATAATAATAATATTTTGGAACAGTGCATTAAAAATTTAACTGACTTAACAACTGGAATGTATCAAACTCTAAATAAAATTACATATCTGGATCTATCGTAGATCAAGAAATTCATCAACACACAGAAATAATAATAATCAAAATAATATTTGTTGGTACCATCAAAAATTTAAGAATAATGCCTTCGAATGCATTCAACCTTGCTACTTTAAACCAAACACAAATATTTCAAATGCAAATTCTTTAAACTAAAATTTTCCATTATGCCGATGATGAATTTCCATCTATTACTTCTGAACCAGATTACACTAAACAAGGGCAACACCATACGGTTCACAGAATTGAAACAAAAGGAATTCTTCCTTTTTTAAACCTCGTCGTCTTGATCCTATTAAATTAAAAATAGCACAAAGTGAATTCGAATTTTTAGTTAAAACTGGTATTTGTCGGCCACCAAATTCACATACTGTATCTCCTATTTCTTTAGTTCCCAAGAAGGAAACAAATGATTAGAGACCATGTGGTGATTATAGAAGATTAAATTTTATAACTATTCCAGATCGATATCCGTTACCTGAAATTCACTATTTAAATATTGATTTAAAAGATAAAACAAAATTTTCAAAAATTGATTTAGTTCGTGCATATCATGAAATACAAAACAGCAATAACCACCCCTTTCGGAATGTTTGAATTTGTACGTATGTATGTCTTTAGAAACAGTGCTCAAACATACGATTTATTAATGAAGTATTTTCTGAATTAGATTTCGTATTTGTTTACATCGATGATATTCTAGTAGTTAGTGATAAGGAGATCAACATATTGAACATTTAAAATCATTATTCAAAGGACTTGAAAATTACAATTTAAATCTTAAACCTCCTAAATGTATTTTTGGAACAAATAAATTGTATTAAATTTTCTTATAAAATTTCAAGTGAAGGTATCAGACCTTCTTTAGAACGTATTGAAACAATTTTAGAATTTGATTACCAAATTACAAAAAATTTTTGGGTATAGTAAATTATTACATAGATATATTAAAATATCAGCAGCAGAACTAAGTCCTCTGCATGAAATATTAGCACATACAATAAAAAATAAATTTAAAGAATTAAATTGGACAGATGAAAGCACACAAGTTTTTGAAAGTGTTAAAAAACTTTTCGCACATTTTGACAAGGACGGTGAATTATCAATTGCAGTAGATGCTTCAAATGTTGCTGTTAGAGCTGTTTTACAAAAAAAGTAGAGTAATAACACATTAGAACCATTAGCATATTAACGAAAATTAACTTCAACTGAAATTAATTATTCCACATTCGATAGAAAACTTTTAGCAATATATAAATTTACCTCCTTTTTAGAATGAATGTCCTGAAGCATGGTTTTTGCTTGTTGAAGGACAATTCGAAATTAACAATATCAATATTAATATTAAACATTTTCTCGAAGATAGAGTTTCCATGTTTACACTGATAATAAACCACTTACACATTTTCTTAATTCTACAGTAGATATATCTCTTCGTCAAATTAGACATTTAGAATATATTGCTCAATTTACTAATGATATTAGATACATTTGTGGCAAAGATAACAAAATAGCTGATACTCTTTCTCGTATTAATTCTATTTCAACAAAAGATTCATTTTTCAATACCTTTACGAAGAACAACTAAAAGATGAAATACTTAAAAATATTATTTGAGATCCAAAATGCTAATAGTAATTTAAATCTCAATACTTGGTCTGATGTTACACAAATAACTTTTAGACCATATGTTCCTAATTCAATGATAAAAATTAATTTTGAAAAAATTCTTTCTTTATGTGTTCGAACAACTCGACGTCTTATTCAATCCAAGTCTTTTAGACCTAATACGCGTAAAGAAATTAATAGTTGGATCTAGTAGGACTTTTTCCATTTTCAAAGGAGAATCAATACATATTAACAATCATTGACATACATGCTCGATGGCCTGAAGCATATCAACTTAAAGACATTTCAGCGGTTTTTGTTGCAACTACATTTATTCAAAATTATGTTCCCCGTTTCGGTATCCCACTCAATATGACGGTAGATCAAGGAACACAATTTACTTCAAAATTATTTAATGAATTAACAAAATTATTAGGACCTCACAAAATATACACTTCTCCATATCATCCACAGTCAAATATAATGGCTGAAAGATTTCATAGAACTTTGAAAATTGCAATTACAGCATCAAATGATTCATTTCATTGGTCTGAAATTTTACCGTGGATTCCTTTAGGTTTACGAACAGCAGTTAAGGAAGATCTTAAATGTTCTTCAGCTGAATTAGTTAATGGTCAAACCCTGAGACTTCCGGGTGAACTTATTGTTTGGAAATAAATTTATATTAACGAAATTGAAAATACAAAAGAAATTCTTTCTAAATTAAGAAAACATTTCTCACTTGTTCGATCGAAAGTTATACATCATAATAAAGAAAATAGTTTTATTCCTAAAAATTTAAATATTTATGAATACGTATTTTTAAAGTTATTCGTAAGTCTAGTCTTCCACCCCCTTATGAAGAACCATTTAAAGTTATATCCAAACATAACAAAACTTTTGAAATACAAATGAAAATAACATTAAAACAATACCAATAGCTTTAGTTAAACCTGCAAACATTATGTCAAGCACACTACTGCGAAACATAACCACACTGACAAACACCAAACAAAAAAGGTTACATTTAATCTTAATTAATATTAATAAATATGTGTTTCACTGAAGGAGGAGTAAATGTAGGAATCTACTTTAACAGTTTTAACTTAAAGTTTTTAATTTTTAAATAAACACAATGTCACTGGTTTCTTATTTCAAATATTTTAATTTTTCTGATTAATTATAATTTTCATTTTCAAACAAACAAGATATGTTAAATAAGTTTTATTAAAAAAAAAAAAAACAAAGATAAAGTTTTCATCAACATTATACATACATAGATACATTTGATCCATAGAAAGGCTCAATTTTACGCTTTTCTGGCGGAGATGTACCGCGTGCCTTTGAATTAGGCCAAGAGTCGTTGTGGTGTGCGAGCCACATTCCTTGCCACCAGAGAGAATTGAAGGATAACTCTTGGGGCTTGCAACCACGTCTTCTGAGATCAGCGGGTTTATCTCCGCTTGCTACATGACACCATACTCCTTCGCTTCTGTGCGTTTTAGGGATGCATTAAAGAGGTTTGGTAAAGGCAGGTACAAGTTTTCAGCGCAACATATAAGGAAGCATTTAGGAAGCTTTTAATTTATATAACACATCTTCTGGAGAAGCAACTGGGGTGTTAATGAAAGCTTGCGGATAAAAATGCTCCTGATAGACAACGTTGCTTCCAGGTGAAATAATTGAGTAATTAGACTTTATTAATCGTGCTAACATATTTTAGATATTATGAAAGCCACTTGATGTAGTACTTTTGTATATCATAGCGGATGAAAACAAAGCGACTCCTCAATCTGAAGTCATAGTGAGATCTTTAGAGAGATGTTATGATGTATCTGTTTCCGTTCCATAGTCAGTCTATTAGACGTGACTGTATAATATCGGGATTTCGTAAAACATTCCAAAACATTGCAGCAGCGTTAACTTTATGTTACCAACTTAAAAATTCATGTCCCAAAACTATAGTAAAGTATTGTTCAGAATTGACAGTGCGGTGCGTTGAAAAATATTAGATTAACTCGATCGTTTATTTTCAAGCCATATTCTGCTAGAGCTTCGGTAATTAATAAATTGCATTCCAAATAGGCGTACACTTAAAAGATTGTATATTTAAAAAACTATAATAAACTTGAAAACTTAAGTTCTTGAACTTCTTTGAAGTTTTTAAACATGTTCACATATTTTAACTCTGTATTTACATTATTATGTCGACGATTAAGTTACCGTAGTAAATTGGAATTTTAGACTAAATTATTTAAATCTATAATACAATAAACATGTACCCGATGCAGTGCTTTAGTTGTTATCAGCTTATATTTTTTCTAACATGCTTCTTAAATGTTCACCAAATCGCATTTTTATTATAATAATAATAACAATTATATAAGTTTATAAAAAAATAAAAAAAATTATACGCTATAAATATTTTTTCAGAATAACTGGTCTACCTCTAAATGAACATTAATTGCCAATGATGTTACCAAATGGCCAAATATTTGGACAACTGGTAAATATGTTTCTTTTGTCATAAAGTTATCGTAATTTAATTTTTTATTACCTTAGGCTATTGCTCAAATAACTAGAGAAGACGGTGCAGTAGTTTGCCCTATTACGAACACAAAATTTTCAAATCCTAAGGTTGAAAAAGTTTTTGTAATGTAAACTATGTAAAGAGTTTGAAATAAAAAAATGAAATATAAAAGTATTCAAACAGCATTTACCTAATAGAAACTTGAGCTTAATGAGAATTTGAAATTAATTGTAGACTGAACTCAGTGAAATAGAGCATAAAAATCCATTGTATGAAACCAATAAATCGGTGCAATGTATGTGACGAAATATTAAAAAGTGTAACTTGGGTCCCAATTCAATAAACGTCCGACCAGTTCGTAAAGTCGCTTGAGTTTTATTTGTATAATTTAGGTCCAATTTAACATTAATTAAAATTATGTTGCAAGAATGAATTAGAAATTGAAATAGTCTTTTTCCGGCGATTTTATCGTAAGAAATGAATAATCCTATTATATGCTTATTAAACGTCTTGCACTTCTATAAAAAAATGACCTTAAAGTCAAATCATCTTGAATGGAAACTAAACGTTATGAAATGAGATAGTATTTGAGTTTACTCTCTTTCTATCTCATTTCATATAAGCGATAGCTCTGGAACAAGCACTCAATTCAGTATTATTTTAAGCTTTGTAAAACATTCTCTTGGGATCTAGACTATGATCTACATTCGGAATAAATTTATAGAAAGGCCTAATAACGAATTTTACATTATATTTAACCGCCCATTGTTCTCAATAAAATACCAGTGGTAAGATGCACTCTATTTTTTTTTGACATTTGACAAGTAAAAACACGCCAGTACAAGCTTCAAGAACGCATTGAAATTTCTAACGGCTAGGATCCAAAACACAGAACGCGAATTACTTACGTTGTTTCAAAAATTATGGGATGCATATAAATATACAAAAACATTATACAGGTTCGTTCAAAACAGATGTACAATATTTCATATAAAGGGTGCATCGTTTAATGAGCTTATCCAAAGCAGGTTGATCATTTTGAGCACAAAGTCATTCGATGAGATGGTGCTGACTATGGATGACAACTGACTTCTAGGCAATGATAGCCATTTCGGCTCATACCTCCAAAGTGGTTGGCGAGTCCACATGTTGAAGTACACCACGTGACGTACTTTATCTAGGATTATCGGCAGCTCTTATATCGTACCAATGCTAACGAGGACTAACATCGAGTGTCTCTGACTTCAGGATCGCTTCAAAAAAAAAATATTTATAATTTTCAGGTTGAGAGTTGAGAGTTGACGTAATTGATAACAACATTTTGATGAGCAAGGAGAACGCTCAATTCGAGGCGCGGAATTGATAAGGGTTTCAAAAATTCGTCGCTTGTTTCGGCAGTAATTAAATTGATAACGTATGCATTGCCATTTCGCTTTTGCATTGCNGAAAAATTCTGGAAGCTATTTTTTCTCCTTAAGTTCTTCTCTTATTCAATTTTTTCCCTTTAATGGTGAATATATGTTTAGACAAGGTCTATCGAGATAAGTGTTATTAAATGTTTTGTATAGTAGTAAAGCATGATAGTAAAGCATTTTTCCGTAAAAGAAAGTTACTAACACTCTAAACATCCTACTCCGGACTGCCCCGACCCCGAAACCGATCGCGCAATCTCGCGGTTACACTTGTATATGTTTATCTGCTGATATAAATTTTCATGGAAAAAAGGGAAAGGAACTTACTTTATTATTTAAAACACTCAGTATTCTACTTTCGATGTTGAATAAAATAAAAGATTAATTAAATTTTTTTTTTATTCCGTACATTATTTTTACTTATTTATTTATTTTTTACAACACACATATGTACAAACGTACTGTATTGAGGTAAGCAAGCGAATGAACTTAAAAATACTGTAAGCTTATTATTTATAACAAAGTACTTAGGTTAGTTTTACATTAACGGGAAAGGAGGGGAAATTTCGTTTTTCGGTTTTCCTTCAATTTTCTTTGCTTTGCAGGAATTGGAAATTAAGGTACGTATTCCAGTGGATAAAGGGTGAGTATTTCAGATTAGGGTAAACAATTCAAGGTGAGTATAAAATTTCTTATATATATATATTTATTTAATTTCAATTTTTCTTTCAGAACTCCATGAGATCGCCACTCATGTTTTCAACACTCAGTAACAAGGTTTTGATAAAGAAAAGCGAGTCAAGAGAAAGTATTAAAATCTTTACACAAAGATCTAAAAGGGTCGTGCATTTCAAGGTTTGTTCTGTATGAACACAATGAAATGGCCTAAAGTGTCTAGATGATCTGGTCTGGTAATGTTAATCATTCACTACTCTCTGACTTTACTTCTCCAGCATTAGATCCCTCCCAACTTACATCTCCTTCAGGTGTCATGAAGGGTAGTGATGTGCAACTCGACGGTTGATCTACGGAAGTGATGCTTTTCCACCCTCTCTACCAATACGCTACTTTCTCTTCACGTGGTGGTACTGTACATCTCACTTGTGAGGCATAGGTTAAGTATGGTGAGCTGATCCCATTTGGCTTCATCTCTTCATCTTCTCTTTCTGACTGTTTCGTTTTGATCCGGTGGTGGTGGTATTCTGTTACCTGTTGATGGTGTAACAGTTGAAACGACTCCTGTTATTTGCCCTGGATCTCGCTCTGGTTGCTTAAGGTTGTCGCATACAAAGACACCCTGTCATAAGTAGTAAAATCGAAGGACATTCCAGCCCGATCTCGGGCAAGGACTTGGGTTTCGGTCACGCCTGCGGAGCCAGATATCATCTTGAAAGTGCTGCAAATTATGAACTCCTCCCTTTCTAAAAGATATTGAATGGTGTTCCAGGTTGAGGAAGCAGACGGGCCGACAAGGAGTCCTCGGACTTTTTGGAGGCAAGAAAAGGACGAGTGCAGTATGGACTGGATGAGATTATCATCCATGCCTATCGCGGTGATGCGCAGCGCGTTTCTTGCCCAGACTATCCGATGGGTTGTAAACTCAAGGGCCATCGATTACTATTTCTAGCGTATAACGAGGGTAACATAAGATCATGTATATTGACTTTAACAGACATAAATAACTTAGCTATTCCTAATTACAGCGATGGCGATGTCACGGCAGCTGTCTTCAATTTAGGGTGAAGCATCACAGTTCGAAACCTCGGTTCGAAATTAGAAATGAGCTCCTCCTAATTTTAAGCGATGCAAATGCCCACCACATTCAATGAGACAATACAAACCTCAAAGTACAACATCAAATATCTCCTTTCTACAAATTTTGTAATATGTAATAGAGGTAGAGCTCCAACGTTTATTAATAAAAACCATGAAAAAGTCATAGATCTAACACTATACAGTGAAAAACTTCACGACTATATTTCAAGCTTGAAAGTTCTCAATGAACACTTCTTTTCTGACCACCGATTCATTGAAACAATCATGGATCCTACCATGGTCAGAACCAATTCTAGAAGGAATATCAGGCACACTAACTGGGAGCTATATCAGACTTCCGTCACCAACCTATAAGGTAGTCGATCACTAGAATCTTCTTCACAAATTCGTGCTCCGAAGCTCTAAGTCGAGCATGTCCAGTGCGCATAGGAGAGTTGGTAGAAAGAACTGGTCGAACTCCGAAAGTCATGTAAGAAGCTCTTCAACAAGGCTACGAAACAATCTGAAGACTGTCACTAGAAAGCATATAAAGACGAACTCAGGTTCTATAAAAAGGCTATGTATGTATCCTGCTTAAAACTTAATCACATACCACAGACGTGGAGACGGATATCAGTCGCCTTCACTCCCACAACAGGTAAGGACACTCATGGACTTCAGGTCCATAAGTCTTTCTTCCTTTTGGCTAAGAGCATTAGAGCGGCTCGTAGTTAACTATCTCTCTCAAACCGCGCCTATCAAAAGGGAAAACTCGACAGCATCTGCACAACATGGACTAATTACCTTATTTAAAAATCTCTCTACCACAGGGAATTTTGTCTTGTTGCCTTCCTGGATATAGTAAGTGTTTTCAATAACTCGTACCAAGCGCAATTACAGCTTTATATGCCGACACTCCATTAGCGAACTTTATCAACCAACGACTTCTAAGCACAGTTATAATGCTAACGAGGACTAACATCGAGTATCTCTGCAGTTTGGTTATATACGAAAGGCGTCCAACTACAAAGTGGTGATGAAAGTAAGCGTTGAACGACTTCAGGATCGCTTCAACAAAAAATATTTATAATTTTCAGGTTGAGAGTTGAGAGTTGACGTAATTGATAACAACATTTTGATGAGCAACGAGGCGCGGAATTGATAAGGGTTTCAAAAATTCGACGCTTGTTTCGGCAGTAATTAAATTGATAACGTATGCATTGCCATTTCGCTTTTGCATTGCAGTATCGAAATGCTGCGAAACCGTAGATTTCGATCTTGATATTGGAGAGGTAAACTAATTCGGATATTATTTTCTTCCAGCGATTACTCAAAGTACATTATTATAACAGCATAACATTAAAATCAATTGGAATTTTGAATAAAATTTACTAAATATAGGCTTAACTACAACTTTACATGGCTTCATATATCATAAAAAAGAATCGATATATAAATATGAATATCCATGATTCAGGAAAGGAAAAAATATGTGGAATAACCAAGATATGAAATATGTAATTTATTTTTGAAAATTACATATAAAAAAATACTTAAGCAACTAATTTTTATAAATTTAGGACTAGAATTTTTTGCCGTCTTTTAAGCGCGTATTTAAGCTTGACATCTTGATACTACTATCTCTCCCTTTCGAGGTAATTACTTAAGTCTAGTATTATTTTGTTAATGTATAGTTCATTTGCATCCTTGACGACAAACTCTTTACGATTTTTATAACTTTTGACTTCATCCATAGAAGGTAAACCACTAAGTGTGGCATAATATTCCTCAGAAGCAAGAAACTCTATTTAGAGTTCATTTAGACTTTCTTCTTATTCTAGGGCCCTTGTCGACATTTAAAACTTNTCCCTTCACGTGGTGGTACTGTATATCTCACTTGTGAGGCATAGGTTAAGTATGGTGAGCTGATCCCATTTGGCTTGATCCTTTTCGTCCATGTACTCTCTCTTCATCTTCTCTTTCTGACTGTTTCGTTTTGATCTGGTGGTGGTGGTATTCTGTTACCTGTTGATGGTGTAACAGTTGAAACGACTCCTGTTGTTTGCCCTGGATCTCGCTCTGAGCACATTACCTCATAAGGGTGGGTGCCAACCCTCGCATGGCCTCCTTGTTCTCCCATGATATTACAGATAACCATGAGAACCCATAGTACTACAAGTTTTGGGTGAGGATAGC